TTCACCATCACTTTAACCATAAAAATCCTTTTGAAAAATGAACACTTGTACCAAGATAGCTGAATGTAGGACTGGAGAACATTAAGGAGAATGGGTGAGTTAAAATAAATTTTGAGCCTTATATCCTTTTGTCTGAAACCGTGAACCAGGTCACGTTACAACCCTTAAAAGACCTAATTGAAGCAGGGTTTATTTCGAAAGCATACTACAGTGAGATCGTGTCAAAGCTGACTCCTAAGGATTTGCTTAACATTTGTGTTGGTACTGATATGACACTCTAACTAGTGATTCATTCGTTATATGTCATAGTCTCAGTGAACATACTTGGATGTAAAAACTAACATAAGCATAACATTAGAATTATCATTTTCAAAACAAACACTTTTTACTTGCGAACAAGCGCTTGACATCAAAAAAGATTCCACAATGGAAAGTTTGATTAAACACTAAGGAGAAAAACTCATGGGAACTCTGTTAAGCAAAAGACAAGTCGATTCAAGATTCAGTCAATCTGGGGCAATCAGGTCAAGATTCGAAAAATTTCTCCAAGATCAGCCAACCAGGGGCAAAATTACTTCAAGGCTTGTATTGGGGTAGGCCACCTCAAGAGCACGAGAAGTCAAACACTCTCAGAATTGATTAATCAGATGGATACAATTTTAAGACACTAGGGCAGATCAAATTGAGATCGTCCTATGACAAAACTGCTTCCTAACTTGTGATTGGGGTAATCCATGCAGATACCCAACAGACTGGAACAGAGCAGGCACAAGCTCTCTCCAGTTCTCAAATCAAGCGTAGAGGTGTGTGAAGAACTCTTGATCTTGATGTAGGTGCCATAGAATCATGTCTTTATGGCCTATATCCAGCCCTAAATCTCCCACCACCACCCACATAAGCATCTGGTCAACTAGTACATAAGTCGTCAATATGCATTAATCATGACGCTTGACTCATACATATCATCGCATTCATCTAGCATAACATGAAGCGTTGCAAAAGAAACTAGAAAAACCAAAGCCCAACATTATTGGCAAATCCAAAATCCAAATTTACTAGGTGTCTTTTAAAGTCCAGTATTGTTTGGTACATCCCTGAAAGCCCAACTTGCTTGGCATCTTTTAAAGCCTAGCTGCTTGGTATCCTTTTTTAACCTTCATGGTTGACGATCCCTTTTTTCAACCTTTGTGGTCGAGGACCCTCTTTTCCAACCTTCACGGTTGTTGATCTTTTTCCAACTGTCATTTTTGTTGATCTTTTTCCAACCTTCATGGTTGGCGATCCCTTTTTCTAATCTTCGTGGTTGAGAACCCTTTTTTCCAACCTCTGTGGTTGGTGACCTATTTTTGCAACCTCCGTGGTTGGCGGCCTTTTTTTCAATCTTCGTGGTTGATAAATATTTTGGACCTCTGTGGTTGGTGACCTTTTTTATAATCTCCATGGTTGATAACCTTTTACCAACCCTCGCGGTTGTCGAGCTTTTCCCAACCTTTGTGGTTGAGGATCTTTTTTTTCAACCCATATGGTTGTTGCCTTGTTTGCAACTTTTGTGTTGATGATTTATGTCCAACAATTTGACATCTCTATTACAGAGGATTCAATTAAAACATCCAACTGCAGGGGCATCCTGAAACTCTCTTACCTAACTTACAAATCCCTTGATTCAATTGATCACCATACCAGAATTAGAGTTTACCGACAACTCACATGGCTGCACGGTTTACATGGCTTCATGCATCATAAAAAATCAAACATGTATTGCATAATCACGTCACTGACCTTGTTTCCCCAACAGATACTTCAGTCAATCTCCAACAGCTGAGCCTACGAAAGTTTACCTGCTTGTCCCTAATACACTTGCATTTCACATATTACATCTTCATTCTCAACGGACAAATTTTTGGATATTCTTGTATTTAATCCTCTTCTACCTTTAATATTCGAAAAGTTGCCGCAATTTCCGCGTTCAGGCTCAAGAAGATTAAATAGGGGCCCTCAAAATTTGCCTTACTTTTTATTTTATTTTTTGTCTTCCTTATTGCTCATTTCATCTGCATAATTCACATGCCCTATTCATCCATCATAGGACATTCGTTGTGCATTACACATCATTGATTCAAAGGTCTTTGTTTAAAAAACAAGCCATTGACTTACAACTTGCAAGTTTGAGTCATTCCGCATCTTGGACTTTGGTTAAGGGCACACTATATTTTGGTTAGTCGATTCTTTATGGATCAAATTTCTATGAAATCTCACCCTTGGTAAACGTTTTTTTATTATGTTGGTTGGCTTCATGCGTTGGTAATCACCTCTCACTCAAATTATATGCAGATGATTGATAGTTCTATTTCCATCAAGTTTAGGAATTAAGATCCTCCCATAAAATTATTGTGTAACAGTTCTATATTCTTTCTAATTATGTCTGTCCATACCAAACCTATCTTTGTCTAGCCATTGTTTTTAGGTCCCAACCATTTGGCGATGCTTTTGTCTTTCTTTTAATGCATGCCATACACTATCTTTTCAACTTACATATCATTACACCTTTTTGTCTAATTGTCATATAGTTTATATAATTTATGTCAACTGATAAAGTAACAAATCAATCTATTATTGTTGCTATTTTGTGTCATAGTCTCATGGGCTCGAGCAGTTTTGATTCAGCAAGATTATATCACAATGCAATGATTTTTTTCCCGATAACGCATAACATATATAAAATGCATGAAGTTGACGCTGTTGCTTAGTTTGAGTTTTTCTTCTTTCATCTTGAGTGAACATAAGTACCAAATTCAGGGTCATGTGCACAGCTGGTTCTTGAGATTGCTGTCATTGAAATTACAATTCCTTGCTCAGATTGTTGTTAATATACACCCAGCATTAATCCAATCCATGAAAAATAACAAAGAAAGAATGAGCTAGTAATATGTAACTGGGATTTGAAACACAAGCATAGCTCATAACTGCACAGCTGGTTGTAGTGGAGAATCGCACGAGGTACTCGATGCGGAGATTTCCGCATGTGTTATGCAATTGGTAGATATTTCAGACAGTGGAATTCACAATAATACCAGCAGAGAGAATTACATAGCATCAAGTTTCAATAACAGAATCTCAACAACAATTAACCAAGCACAGTGCCTTTTAAACATGTTGCACAACTCATAATTTAAACTCACAATGCATTCGCATTTCGCATGATAACCTTTGACAGCTCAGCTTAAATTAATTCAAATTGCGGCAATGCTCATAACAATTTTTTCCACTTCACAAGTTACATTGCATTCACAACGAATTACAAAATTATACAACAACTCATAACCGATTTTTAATTTCCAGCTTCTTGCACATAACAGAGACTCAAGTGTACAAAATAACTGACTTCATCGAACCTAAAACACAGCAGAGTTTTAATACAATAGCTCAAGCAAAGCTAATTACAAATTTCCAAAACTAATGTCCTTAACTAACTTAACGGCATGAATAGATTGACTAACTTCAAACCAATTTTCCCTAAAGGCCTAACAGAACAGCAACTAACCTTTAACTGTTAAAATCAACTTGTAACCAACTTTGTTTCATCCAACCAAACTTAACCTTTTTTTTCTCATTTGAAATTCATAACCAACAAAATTAACCAAATCAGCAATTAATACGTACACACCATAATTCAATTGTCAATCGTTCGCATCCGTTGACACTAGGTGGTTATCCTAATTGTTTCCAAAATATCATCACTAATCAATTAATTTCAGTAAATAAGTTAATTTCCAGTAATAATTCAATCCTAGCATAAATGAGTTAACTCTAAGTCCGATTCATTTTACTGACGGCTCCACCATATATCACTATCCGCTTCACTTTCGTTTTCATTAATTCAAGCTAAGCTAACTATCTAACACCTCAACAGTCCTTCTTAATGTTCGATTTAACTATAACAGAATTAACTAACCTTGCAACTAACCTAAACTCTTTTTCTAACTAACAAACACTAACAAAACCATTTGACTTTGCTAACCAATAATTCACAACTAGCATTCCAAATTAACTTCTAAAATACAATGTAAATAAACTAGTTCAAGCAAGCAATTTAACATGACAGCCCTGCATATACTTAACACATCCATGACAGACTGCATTAACATTCCAATTAACTAACAGTCCTACATCTAACCAACAGATTTTTAACAGTCCTTTACAGAAGATAACAGAAGTCGTGCGAATCCATGAGCATTATGATGTTTCGTGATAAGCCTCTCCACCGTTGCGAAAGGCAATAGTGCAGAGAGAACTTTCCCTTCATTCTTCCTTTGAAGTAAATTTTCTCTCCAAATAAACAATAAATTTGTTTGCAAAAAAATTCAATTTTTCCATAGAAAGTCCCAATGCAAACATACTAAGTTTTATATTTTTCTTTATTAAAGCATTATTTTTAAAATGTTAATTTTTGCCTAAGTGATAATCTTTATGAAAAATTCATACTTAATTGTGTGCGTGTAAATAATCATAATTAAATTGCATGTTCTTATTTAGTTTTTTTCTTGTGTTTTACATGGTAATAAGTTTATTTTTCATAAATAAACAATATCCTAATTCATTATCTAAATTAATTAAAGTGTTGATTATTTGAATTGTTTTTTAGCTATGGATATATGTGTGTTTTGCATTCAATCTTAGAGGGTTCTTAATTGCAAATATCAAATAATTCATAAATCCAAATAAGTTTTTAAAACGCGTCTAAGCTTCATTTCAAAGGCAAAAACAACAACTTTTAGAGGATTGCATGATAATAGTCCATATTAAAACCGTCGAATATATTTTACAAACCTAAAACTTGATGGTTAGAACTCGAGGATAACAAAAGGTTTCATTATGATTAGAAGTTACGTAATTAAGCATAATTAACATTCATTCTGTCTCAAAATCACAGATAAAGTTACCTAATAAAGCACAATTACAACCAAAGCTAAAGTTACTAACTTAAATAAACAACTTTCACTTCAGAAAACATGAACTTTAAGAACTAAATCCTCTTTGTTTATCAGTTCAAAGACACAAACATCTCCCGGTTGCAGTCGATTTTCACTTGCAAATAAGGACCAACCAGCTGATAGGAAGCGAGAGTTTGAATTCTTCTTAAATCGAAGCAATTTCACATTCCATGATGTTTTCCCAATCTGCAGAATCAGATTCTTCTCTTCGTTCTCAATAACCCCTTCTAAATTTGGTACAGTCTGCATTGTATAGTAGTATTATCAATCAATTCACAACATATATTATTCTACTACATAGCACTGCATGAATTTGACCTTACCAACACATAATGTAAGAGATGATTAGGTTTTATGAGAACAGTGAAAAAAGGATTGCTTGAGATGAATTTTGCAGCTACTTCTTGAGCTCTATTTTCTCTTGGCCAATTCAATGATGTAGTTTTTCCAATAGTCTTCTTAATCTCACCTGCATATATATACAGTGAAATTTAAAATAGACAAGTAAACTATGTAGCACCGAGATCGCTGAAAAACAGCGTGTCCGCGTCCACCTGGATGCAGGTGGACGCGGACACCTGCACCGATACTTATGATTACGTTTAATGCGTCAGGGTATGTTTAGGTGACCGTGCTTCAAATCATGATGCTTGATATTTTCAGGTTTCAACTCTAACTTCTGTTTACAAAACAAAATCTACATGCAAGTTTCTGTTAATTCATTATGAATAAAAAATATTAATAGAAAATCTCACCAACAAAATTATGTATAATAAAAGGAAAAACAGTAAAATTTAATCTACATACCTCTAACTTTCTTACATGGTCTAGGAGAAACTAATGGTGAGTTTGGTCTAGTCTTCTTCTTATTAAGACATTCATTCAAAATCTCAACTGATTCATCATCACTATCATCAACATTCAAGATCTCAATGGATTCATCATCACAATGATCAGGATTGTCAGTTTCAGCAAGAGTGTTACATGAAGAATCATAATCAATTTCTACTCCATTCTGGCCAATAATTAGTACATCTAACTCTGAAGTTCTTTCTTTATATTTAAAGACTACCAAACAACCATGTTGAAGGGAGTAATTTCGAGTAAAGGTTTTCCAACCTTTTTCAAACCAAATGTCACCATTGATGTTTTTCCAAAACACTTTCCATTTAGTGCCATCAGGAGGCTTGATCATCACTGGATTTGGTAGAGCAGCACCGTGTTTTCTTGTAAACTTGCTTGGTATTTTCTGTAAAATATAAATATTACTATTAGAACTAGATTTTTCTAAAATAAAAAGAGGTAAAACAGATATAACAATACTTATGAGTAGAGAGTAGTAGTAAATGAAGAGAAAAGGTTACAATAGTTTGAAGATTGGTTTGAAGAATAATCTTGAAGAAACAGATGGGAAGAGATGAATTTCCTGTAGCCATTGGTGATGAAGTGATGGAGAGTTTAGGAGATGATGTGTGAGACACACTTCTTCTAATAGAAACAGATGAAGTGATACAGTGATATGTTTTGGTCAGAGATGCATGCAAAGTTTTCATTTCTTTATGGTTATAGTTACCTACATACCTAATCTCATTATTCATTTCTTTTTGGTTATAGTTACCTACATACCTAATCTCATTATTACATTTCTTGTACGTCTTTTCTTAATTCACTTCACTTTTCTTTTTCTAAAAAAAACCCTATCTTGGTGAAATGATTTTTTTAATATTATTAAAAATTTAACTTATATATATTTCATTATATTATACTGTAAATTTTAAATTAACATTATGAAATAACAAATTAATAAATTTTTAATAAACTTATTATTAAAAACAGAGCAAGACATGGCTCTGGTTGAAACGAAATGAGTGACTAATAAAAATGGAAATTGGGTCATAAGCCCACAAGCTACCCGTCACATGTTCTACAGCTTTATTCAGAAATTAGAAAAACTAGGTTAAAACAAGATCAGAATTTTTTTTTATAATAATTAAGTTTTGTGTACTATTTACCAATTAAATGAGAGTTTCAAAATTTTTATCAAAGTAGTAATATTTTCAACCGCCAGTCGCCATATGGATTGGCGAATAGGCAAAAGTGTTAGGGCTTGTAAACAATTCGCTAGATGGATTGCCGAATGAGGCAAATGTGTAATTGGGCCTGTAACCAATTCGCCAAATGGATTGGCGAATGAGGGAAACGTGATTTTAACTTTATTTTTTTACTATGTTTTTAATTTCAATTAATGTTAAAATTAAGTTTTTTATATTTTAAATTAGTAATATTTTTTTAAATATAATTATTAATAATAAATTTAAAATAATTAAGTTTAACATTAAAATTAATTTATTAATTAATAAACTTTAAATAATTAGGTTTAAAGTTAAAATTAATTTTTAATTAATAAATTTTAAGTAATTAGGTTCAAATAAAAATAATTTCAAATTAATTAAATAAATTTATGTTGATCTAAAAGTTGAGTGTTCATTGAAGTTTAGCTTTTAAACCTAATTAAATAAATTTATGTTGATCTCAAATTAATTTATAATTTTAAAACATAAAAATTGAGTGTTCACAGAAGTTTAAATAATGTAAATTTTGTAAGGGTGTTTAAGTCATATCATATGGGGTACGTACCGATTTTTTTTACTATAAATACGACTGCAAACACAAGTATGTTATCACAACATTGTATCTCAAAAGACTGAAGATTTAGTGCATTTTGAGTTGAGTGGAGCCTAGAATGTCTGCATTTCTAAATCAACGTTCATCGTCGTCGTCGTCATCAGCATCAGACGAACTTTTTCCAACGTTCGATCTAATGAAAAGAAATGCCCTAGTTGTGTTTTCACCAACAAAGCCTCCGATGGAGGTGCTCCTCTGGAATACGCAGACGTTGGAGCACTTGCACAGAGAACTGAACCGCTGGCTAGAAGGAGGCATTGGTCCAAGAGAAAAGATTAGGAAAATCGAGAGGCTGGTCGAGGAGACCGGGAGAAACGGAGTGACTCGGGAATGGAGAAAAGTGGAAAATGATGTCGGTGTCCTTGTGATGATGTTGACACCCAAGAAGATAAAGTTGATCGTCGTGATATCGTAGACGCTTTGGTGCAGTGTTATGTTTTAAGTCTTTACGTTGTTGTTATGTTTGTTTAATTTATGTTGCCTTCGCGCAGTGTTTTGTTGTCATGTTGTTGTTGTGTTAGTTAACGATGGTTTTAATTGATTGAAACCTGGTATTATTCGAATGAAATTTGCTATTAATCTTATAAAAGTTGCTATTAATCGAATGTAATTTGATATTGATTTAACGGGACAAGATTACATATGAAACTAAGATCTGCTGCTTAATCCTACGTTAGGATATTTTGTTTGATTGTGTCCTGGTTGCCGACACGAACTACACAATCTCACTAGCTTGTCTGCGATATCCATCTCAGTTTGAATGCGCGTGCTGTTAGGCCGACCCTTCTTCTGTCTGCGCATCAGGTCATTATGCCAAACAATTTCGCCTTCGTATAGAGGCCAATAGTCCTTCTTTACCACCACTTGAAAGCTGCATGTGTAGACATTGCATAGACTAATGACTTGGTGAACTGCAGAAAGAAGGTTGGTTGGGTCCTGGTGCAACTTAGAACATGCTGCTATGACATGAGAGCACGGCATACAAAATGCTTGAAACTTTCCACAATTACACCAGCTCTTATCCAATTTAACACGGTAACATCTCCTAGGCCTTCCTTCGTTGTGATCCATAGAATCAGCAACACTGAACCAACCAGTTGTACGGTCAAAGATTGTGACCACGTGTGTGTTGGCTTTGGCAGCTTCCTCTTTCATGAATTTCATTGAAGTATCGCTATACAGCTAGCCCGATTGTAATACCGAACCCCACTTCGTACGTCTGCTATCAAAGAGTGATCCTAGCCTAAAATAGGTTGCCTTTACCAAGGCAGTTATTGGGAGGTTTCGGATTCCTTTGAAAACAAAATTCATTGATTCGACGAGGTTAGTTGTCATGTGGCCCCATCTCACCCCATTGTCGTATGCCCGCGTCCATTTCTCCCGATCAATGTTATCAATCCATCGTAATGCATCTGCGTTTGTCAGTTTGATCTCGTCACAGTAGTATTTGAATGTGGGTTCAGTTAGTGCATATCCTGCGTTCACAACCTTCTTCTGTAGGGTCTTGTCTTTGATTTCACGCATGAAATATTGGGCAATGTGCCTTATGCAAAAGACGTGGGTAGATGGAGGATCCTGCCAACCGTTGTCATGGTTATTGTATGCACTTTCTATTGATGGGTGTCAATCAGAGATCAAACATAAGTTAGGTTGTGGAGACACGTATGAGCGGAGGTTTTTTAAGAAAAAACTCCAACCCCCAGCAGTCTCCCCTTCCACTATAGCGAAGGCTATTGGAAAAATATTGTTGTTCCCGTCCTGTGCCACAGCCATGAGAAGTGTGCCCTTATATTTCCCGTATAACCATGTTCCGTCAATTTGAATTATGGGCTTACAATATGCAAACCCTTTGATGCATGGTTCGAACGCCCAAAAGACTCTGTGAAAAATTCCATTTCCAGCAACACAAGTCCCATCTGCTGTACACGCAGGCAGTGTCTCCAATACCGCAACAATTCCCGGAGAGTAGTGTTTAAGAGCCACCAGGAATTTCAGAAGTTCCTTGTACGACTCCTCCCAATTCCCAAACACCCTTTCAACCGCTTTAGTTCTGGAAATATAGGCTTTTCAGTATGAAGAAATGTAATTGTACCTTTGAACCATATGCGCAATTATGGTACTGATCTTCAAAGACGGGTTGTCGCTAATGAATGACAGAATCTCATCGCAAATCAATTGAGAGATGAGTTTATGATGGTTTTGCATCGGATTAGAGATTATACAACTGTGTGACGGACCTATGGACCCTATCTTCCAGGAATCGCTTCTCTTTCTGAAAGACGTTGTTAATCGGAAGGGGCACTCCTTGTTACGATAATAGATCGTATACCGCGTCAGATTTGTCCGATCGACTCTATAATCGACAGACAACCCCATGTGAACCCGTTTGATTGCCCGAACACAGTCTTCTTTCGTACGAAACTCGTCACCCTCCTTTAGTGGCCCTTCTGTTGCGTAGTTGGGATTGTAGAAAACATCCGTCGAGGGTTCATCATCACCCAAGTCGAGAGTTGTCATGTGTTGAGGTGGACAATAAACATTGCCGGGTGGAACCCCGTCATCCTGGTTGTTCACCATCTCGTCAACAATGACTTCAATTGCTTCTTCTTCTTCGTCAACAACATTAACTTCAGGGTGTTCATCGTCAGAATTGCAAAAAACTTAAGAAGAATCAAGTTGCTGAGACAGTTGTTGCTGTTGTAACGTAACATATAACATGATATCTGAGAAACCAGAATACTCGTGAGTCTGGAACATGTTAGGCACATCTTCATCGTCTCGTACCTTTAAAGGGAAAAATTTACATTCACCATACTCGCCAAAAAACACTGGGTTTTTGTATATTATTTGCCCAACTGGACCACATTGAAGTTTTTTTTCTATTCTTGACTTAAGGTGTAAAACGTTAGACCTTCTGTCAATTAAAAATCTTGTAACTTCAGTGTTTCTGAAATTGTAACCAGATCTTTCACATTCGAAAACTTCACCGTTGAGATGTGCTGAAATCATATATTGTGGTGTTTGAGACATAGCGAAAATTGTGTTTGACTGTTTGAGTGTTTGAGTGTATGATGGTTTGAGTGTTATAGTGTTTGAGGGCCTGATTGCTTGAGTGTTTGAGGGTCTGAGTGTTTGAGTTTAAAGAGGTTAAAGACTTCATTAAATAGTCTGAGTGTTTGATTGTTTAAAGAGTTATAAGATCACATGTGACACTAGTCACGCATGCGGTTTCAACCATCAAAGCCTTTGGAATCAATGACATGTATCAGGACACCAGTCACGCATGCGTTTACAACCATCAATTGATATGCAATCAATGACATGCAGCAGGACTTGATGAGACGGGACCCTGCATCGAGAATCAATGACATGCATCAGGACTTGATGAGACATGACTTGATTAGACGAGACAATGGCATAATCTCCTTTTCACATGTGATCTTGCAAGCTGCATAAATTATATTTATTTGGATTCATATACTGCATAAATGAAAGACAAGCATTAGGACA